TATTTTGTGCCGTTTTGCGTGTTTCGTCATTTTTGTTGACTTGTACGCCTTGCCAAATTACTTCATGCACTCATTAGCTTCTTTATGGCCTTGGATGATCCTCTTTGATTCAGATGATCGTCTTCGTTTAGTTTCGAACTGCGTGCGGGAACCCATAGATATTTTTTGACGCCTACAGATACTCCCTCCAAAGTGTTTTAGTCTTATATTTTATAGAGGAGGCTGGAATACTTTGGATATGATACGCCTAATCTTCAACTCTTGGAATTCTTCAGCTTTCAGTTTGTTTTGAACAACTAAAATTCTTTCGGTACTGCGTTTATCGACTGTCCGTCGTCGAAATCTGGAACTGGGACTGGTGCGTTGATATCTGATTTAGCTCGTGTCGTTGAATCGACTTTGAACTGATCACCTTCATCGGAAGTGTGCATTCGAATATGAGTGAATTCCCCATAATAATTCTTTTCATCTGAAAAATCATCTTGAGCCTTATTTTAGTGGAATTATCGACGCGTTGACCGGCATCGACCTTTGTTGTGGCGTGAACACTAATAAACCTTTATTTTGGCAAGAATTATTAATGCGCTGACTAGCGTTGACTGTAATGTGTTGGCGGACGTTGACACAGTTTATACTCATATGTCTGCTGGCGACTGCATAGTTTAAGCTTTTAAGGTGTTGGAGCAGGGTGGACCAGTTTATACTCATATACTTCTGGGAGTTTCGGGAGTTAGTTTAACCTCAGATACTTGTTGGAGGTTTCCTAGTTATCCTTAAGAATATTATATGTAATATTCTCCAGAAACTTCTCGTCAAAAGTGGAAAACAGTTTTAGACTTGTATACCCATCGGGGTATGAATACAGGCCCCGAATCCATTGAAAACGGGCAAAAATGGACCAAAATACATATGAAAATACCCCTAAAACTCCTACACGTGCAAGACAATCTGGGTTGTCCTGCATGTGTGCGAGAAAGCCTTAGGTGTCTCATGCGTACGCGAGATAGTCTAAGCTGTCTTGCACATGTGCGAGACAACCTTAGGTGTCTCATACACACGCGAGACAGTCTAAGCTATCTCGCACGTGTACGAGACAACCTAAGCTGTCTCGCTCGTATGCGAGACAGGCTAAGCTATCTTGCTAAGTTCGGAGGGTCAGGTACTTTCCTTTCTATATTTTACTCTTTTCGGTGTTCTTCTCCTACCCGACTCCCTCCAAGAATTCAAGTCTTCTCTCCTAACTCAAACTCTTCTCACCCCTTTATAAGAGTTCTGAATCTTCCTTCCCCTTCTCTTTAAATCCATCGACTTAGTCTTAGTTCTTTGATTTGGACAAAAGCTAACCTAGGGTTTCGTTTGCTGAAATCTCTTGAACCCAAGCTTTTTGTTGAGGTTCGCTGACTTTGAACTTCACATATCTTTGGTTCTAGGTAAGGCTCACTCTCATAGCCGTGATTTTGTGTAGAGTTATTCCCCAAATTCCAAATTTCAAAAGAGGACTAAAACCCTACTTTGAATTTTGAAATTGGATTTCGATTGCAGCCTTGTTTCTGCGTTAATTGCACTGTAACCTTGATTTCTTTCTTGGACTTGACAGGAGTAGACACCCATCTTCAGTATTCGGCGACTCTTGAGGCCCTCTTGCCATCTTTCACTGATTCTTAGCTTCTTCATCGAGGTAAAAAGAAGTTTCTTTCATTTTTTTTCATGAAAGCTTGGTCTTTTACTCAATTATTGTTTGGGAATTGAGTTTAATTTGGTCCTGGGAACCAAAACTTGAGATGTTTGGGGTTACGGACAAATCGTTTTATTTTCTTACTTTCCTTGATTTGAAGCCTTAATTTAGTTTTGCATGCGAACCAAATTTTTTTCTTTAACCGTGGGTATGACGCGATGTCCTTGATTCATCTTATATACTTAGTATGACCAATCCACTTACTTGACTCGTGTGAGAACCGCACTTCTTATCTTAACCCTCGTGTAAAAATGTAGCCTGTATCTGCCTTTTGGTTCTGTTCCCAAATATGAATTGAAGCTTTTAATTTAATTGTGCAAGGGATTATAACAGGAACCTTTGTATGTACGAATTTGACCGAATTTAGGCTCGTGATCTTTGGGCTTTTAGTCGTGTATGAGAATTGGATTTGTAGGCATGTCGAGCTTTTTTGTTTGGCCACATGCACATCTTGAACCGAAACTCCGAGATATTTGGCTTGATTTATTGCACGATCTATTATGAATGAAAATCAAAACAAAGCTTCACCTTATCGCCTCGGCCTCATGTATTCGCCTTCTCATTATTTAACCTCGATTAGGCCCATTACGTAGGTTTAATTGGATATTCAACCAGAAAATCTCATTTTAATAGAATTTTAGTTAAATCTCACAATTCCTTATTGAATAAATGATCTTTGCTTCTTCGATTCTCGATATAACTAAACCGTTGATCTTCGTTGTAGATTAGCTATGTCGATGAGGCGATCACGTATCCCGAGGGGTCGCTCGGCGACTGAGTCACCTGAAAGGGAGCCTCTGTCTTTCGCAGGTAAACTTTTATGAATTTCTTCTTGTGAATTTAATATTGGTATATCATGTTGCATATTGCATCCTCGCTTTGTTCTCCTTAGTGAGGCAATTGGGAAGAGCCATCATCCTCCTTCGTGAGGGTGGACGCTTCACAGATGTGTTTTGCTTGGTTAAAATGCATCTTAATCAATGAGGGGCGATTTCATGTTGTATTATATTCCAAAGGACGGATATATTATCACATTATTCATGTGACAATGTACATCGTGCTTCGTATGTATAATGCAGTTTAAATCGTCTCACCTAGTTAATAAGTACCTTTCCCTTTTGCTTAGAAATTCATATGAATATGTTATGTATCATATCCCACTTTGTTCTCCTTGGTGAGGCAATTTGGAAGAGCCAATATCCTCCTTCGTGAGGATTAACGCTTAACAGATACGTTTTTCTTGGTCAAAATGTATCTTACGACAATGAGGGGTGGCTGTATTGTGTTACGTAGGACGAGGTATATTTGTTGTTTTGTTTAGCGATAATATACCCAGTCCTTTACTTAGGACAAGCTATTCATTTCAGTTGAATTTCGTTCAAATGCTTTCTCGCCGTTTGAGCTTGATGGTCGTAGGGGTGAACATTACGCTACTGCTGATGATTCAGTGCTAATCCCGCCTACTCCTCAATTTGCCCCGGACTTTCCTAAGGAGTCCTCTCGGTTGGTGCGAGAGGGGCATCATCACATTTTACGTCGGCTAATTACCGACGCACCGCTTGTAGATAGTGGGGATCCCACTCGGCCTTCAAGAAAGGCATATTATCTGTTTGGTGATTCCGTTGAAGATCCGGCTACTGTATCTCTGAAGGATAAGCAGTGGTTACATAAAGACACATTAGGATTTTTATATCTCCCACCTATCCATCGTCAACGCCAACTAACTGAATTGCGGAAGCAAGCGGTGACACGGGAAATGTCGGGGACACTGACAGAGGTTCATTGTGGTTATATCACCAATCAGGCACTCCCAGGTTCAAGCAACAGGAATCATATTGTAGGGTTGCATCCTGGAGTGTTAGGGTTGGATGAGCCACCTCGTGGTGAACTACCCATAGTCGCTAACACTGTAGGAAATCTTCTGGTAGCATTAGGGCGAGAGTTACCTGCTGTGGGTCATTGATGTTATGGTTGGTCCCACTCTTCAGATAGGCTTTGGTGGGCGAGGTTGACCAACTATGTTCTCAACCGATGGAGCGCGGATTTGAAAGTGGGTAGATTGTATGAGGCTGTCCGTGCTACAAAGTATGGATTGCGCATTAGTGTTCATCACTTTCTTGTGCTGATAGAGTTCTACAATCCGGACTCTAATACCTTTATAACCAGACACTGGGGATTAGGTTTGCCTCTCCATGAAATGTTTAAAGTTTCCGACTTACCGATGAGTGGGGCACTGTATCAGGAATATTTCCCTCCTAATCGAGAATTGGAGCAGTTGAAGGCCCGTACGCCAGCTAGGTTTGATACATTTTGGGAGCTTACCTGTCATTATCAGACGGCGCTGGCGGGCGTTAACCCATTAGCGAGGAAGAAATTGTCCCAGATAAGTTTGAAACAATTCTCCAGCTATTTGTTGAAAAGCTAGACAAACCCGATGAGGCCATCCATGAATTGAAGCCATTAACCCCATCAGAGATTAATGAGTTGATTGCAAAGTCTGGTGCCCACTCCTATACTAATTCCAATGCTGAAGGTAGATTCCCTGCGGGGACTAAATTTAGAACTTTCCTCTGGTGCGTACAAAGACCCATCCAACCCATGACTTTATTGGCCGGCTACCTCGCAATTTGGTTGAAGAAATGCGTTGTGCCGTACAAGGCTTCTGATGCGTTGCCAATAGAAGTCTTGTTCCCGGCTGTTTAGCTAGCCCATGGGAAGAGTATATCCCTCCTTCCAGCGATGGTCGCCGACATTCATTGCGGGCTTTGTCAGGTGGTCACTGTCTTCACTCAAAAGGAAGATACACCGTCAGCTCAGATTTCTACGGTAAAAGTGGAGTTGCCTTACACATACTTAATGATGTGGTTAGTCCTTTACTGCCCTGATATGATGTCGGCTCCGACCGATGCGAGCGTGTCCATTTCGATGGTACAATTGCTTGAAGGGTGCAAGTGGAAGGCACAGAACTTCTTGGAAGCTAGGAGGAGTCTGCAGATTTCTAAGGGCTGGCTTTTCTCTCCGCGTGCTCCTCGATTTGCCGGCCATTATAGCGGATTATTGGCTGATGAAGAGATGCCAAGGATGAACCGAACCTCACTCAACGTTGGCTGCTTTTGGTGGTTAATGAATACCAGGCTAGGTTATCTCGTGTTCCGGGTAAAGAACCGTTTCCACTTGGAGCATTATTTGCCGTGCTGATTAGTCCTCCAGTTCGGATATGATCAATTCTACATCAAAAATCTGAACGAACAACTCCGAACTCGTGGTGGATTGGTAGATAGCGCCTAGGCTTGGTTGTGGAATGTTACAGGCTATACCGGTGCTAGGTTCGGCCTTTCGGGTGCGGATCGTGGATTGGAGTTGACATATTTATGCTGCAGATGGCTGATCGCGGCTAATGAGCCCGTTCAAGTGAGACCGATTGCGGAGTTGGCCTCTGAAGTTGCGTCTCAAATTGCGGAAAGGATAGTTCAGGAAAACATGCAGCGACAGAGGAAACAGGGAAAGAACCTGCCAGTCCCTCAAGCAAAGCAAAACATATAATAGAAGAAGAAGAAGAAGAAAGTCTTTCATTTTTGATGAGGAGACTTCAGAAGAAGAGATCATCGGTGGTGAAGGCACCACCGCTGGCAGCGATGAAGAGGAACTCGACATAGGTTTGTCAGAATCTTCTTACGAAGAATTGTTGGATCTGGCGATTGCCGATTGAACTCGCCGACTTAAGGCTCGAAAGAGGTGAAAATTTTTGCCTACTTATCCTCGTAGAATGATTGTTGAACTTCCAGGTGCGGCCTCTGAAGAAGAAAGAGATGGAATTCGCCCTATCATTCGTACCCGATCTCGAACCGTGGGTCAGACTGGATTAGAAGTTGAGGCGCGCACTAAATTTAAGTAGGATAAGCCTACGATTCTTGAAGAGGCTCGACCTTCTAAACGTCAAAAAATAGTTTTTAGGCGAAATGCCAAGCTCTCAGATCTCGAGACGGAGTTATTTGGCGAAGCGTCTATTAGTGAAAAAGGTAACACCTTAATTTTTGTGGTCTTTCATATATTAGACCTAGACTTACCAAGTTTTATCTCTTAGGGGCACGTGAGGAAAGCGAAGCTCCATACCACCTTCCTTCTCCCGATCTTGATTTTTTTTGAAGAACCTAGCTTTTCTCAACAAATGCATGATGTGATGGTCAAGGAACCCGCATGTATTAGGACCAACAAAGGTGTTGATGTAGGACCTGGTCCATCCATAGTGGTTTCTAATCCAGGTACATTTAATGCTGGTAATACGACTTTCAGATGGCAATTTTGGGAATTAAACGATTCAGAATCCGTGTCTCCCCTAATTGTTTCCATGCTTCTGACCCTGTTAGAAAAATTACAGAATGCGCATGCTAACACTGAGGTTGTGGAACCTGCTGTGGCTGATGAAGGTGAGTTCGATTTTCAGTCGTCATAAATTTTTAACTTTTCCTCTTTGTGTCTTTACACTTAGATTTTCCTATAGATGTACCAGTTGAGAGTCCTGGTGAAGAAGAAACCTTGCATCTCGTGAACATCGGGGAGTTGGATGCACCTCTCTCAGAACAAATAGAAGGCTCTACTAGATCTGACGACAAATTGCTTGACGACATGTTGTTGGAACAAACTCACCATGAGGCCATCGAAACAACAATTGAGGCTACTCTTCTACAAGTATGTGCTTCGTTCCCCTGTCATAATTATTTGTTTATTGGTTTTCTCTTAATCATAAAGGAATTTAATTGTAGGACTAGTCGTTGAGACTAGTGCAACTACCATTATTGGGATGTCTGATAAATCTGAGGGTCTAGGATTCTTTCTATTGGCAGGAATCATCATCGACGCTCGGTCATCGGCTCTCGAAACACAACTCTCCATCCCTTCAGAATTGCCGACTATAGTGACCACTACCATTGTTGGGATTAGTCTGGTTGAACAGGTGGCAAGACCAACTAAAGAAGTCTGTACATCAATGACTGTCACGTCCGCAATAACCCTAACGATTCATGCAGCCGGGAAAGCGGGACCGAATGTGGGTCGTCAAATTGAAGAACCCTCAGTCGCCATTGGTGAGTTCTGTTTCGACATTTATCTTGAAAATATTTAGACCAAAATTCCTAAATAGTTACTCTTCTTTTTGGGGCTCTTAGTTCAGCTTTATGATCTCGTCAAGTGCTATTATGCAATAATGACCTAGATAAAATCCTTCTCCGCATGGAAGTTCGTTCTTTCATCTCGTTCATGAATGAGATGGTTAACAATCTTCTCCACAACGGGCTTTCTATATATCTCTTTAAGTTATATCTTGATTATCAAGTGACCTTTCTGAGGAGTCAAGGGTATTCAGATCTGGCGGATGCTATCACTTCAGATTTGGCTCGTCTCGAGTGTGAGCTTAAAAAGCTGAAGGAATTCCAGACTGCTGGAGTCTCTTCATACGTGGCTACTAAGATGAAATCTAGGTTACAAGCGTGGCGTGAAGCTCAAGCATCTGCTGATTCTAAGATTCGGGAAGAAGAGGGTCTTCTTCACCAAATGGAAGCAGCTTTCGCTGATAAATCGGCAACCCTTCGCAATATAGATTCTTCTCTTGCTGTGAAGATGACGAAGGTCCACGTGGATCACGCTCGAGAAGTAATGTCCGATCAATTGGCACTCACCAAAGAGAAGGTGACAACGATGAAAGCAGAAGCCGCGAAGGTATTGGCTGTTGATGAGGAGTCAATGAAGGCCACGCTTTAGAGCGAGCTCAAACAAGCCTATGCGGAGGAATTGTCCAAACTTGAACAGCAAATCTGTAGTCATAAATTCAATGTAGATTGATCATAACCTCTGTTCCTACAGACTCAATTTTATTAATGAAAGACATTTCTTTTTCCATTGTATTTTTTATTATGATTTCTCATTCTGTTTGGAATAATTAACCATGATACTTATAGGATTTTTGGCAAACCATCAGCCATCAACGAGTTTGATGTGCCTTTACCGATCACCATTTGAATCGGGTTAGCATGTGAATTGTCTAAATCCGTTTCACACGTAACGTTGTGCTAAAAGAATAAATTCTCTTAGACTTAGTGCTACGATCTTGAATACGTAAACTTTAGTATTTTTACGGAAATACACTAACCGACAACGCGTATTAGGTGTAGACTTATCCCTGCTTAGGATTTGGGATAAAATTCCCCATGTGTGTGAGACATGGATTCTAGATGTTGAACGATTGTGTCTTCTCTTGAGGCAAAGACGAACCTGATATCGGAGAGGAAGAATTTTATATTTTATCTTCGGGAGAAAAGAAACTCAAAGTGGGATCTCCACTTCGAGAATCCGAAAAAGGTAAAACTAAGAGTGGGATCTCCACTTTGAGAATCCGAAATTGGTAAAACTAAGAGTGGGATCTCCACTCCGAGAATCAAACAGATTCAGATATCCCTAACTTTTATAGGATTGGTTACCTAATCTAAAAATGTAATTTTCCCATTTATCGAGATAAAATTCTGACTTCAGCCCTAACTTTCACAGGATTGACTGAAGGGAGATGGATGAGAGATTTTCGTTTATCGAAAAGGAATCCCGGTTTTGGCCGTTACTGTTCGATGGTTTTGACTAAGAGGGGGGGGGGTATTGAGATGACTCTAACTTTTATAGTTTTGGTCGTTCAATTAGAGTGAAGGCCTTTCGTTTATCGAAAGGGAAGTCCAATTTGAAAGTAGGCCTCTTGTTCGTTGGAGGAATTAAGAGGGGAATTTAGCTTTGGTCCCGACTGTAGGAAGGTTTGACCACAAGAGGAGTTTGAGATGACCCTAACTTTTAAAGGTTTTATCACTTGATTTGTGGACCTCTCGTTCATTGAAGGAATCGAGAGGGGATTTTGGTTATGATCTTGACTATAGGAAGGTTTGACCGGACAACTAGTGAGAGTGTGATACAAGTAATGTTGACTTGCATCAATCACTGAGTGGGGTTTTTAGTGTTGAGAGATAAGAACTTAACACGAAAAAGTTTGACAATTGTTAAGGATTAGCAGACTGAAACCCAGGCATTATATCTGGACTTTAACAATGGGAGTGTTGAGTGCACCGACACAACAGGAGCTTAAGTGAATCAAATCAGGAAGGGTTTTAATGGACCCATCGTCAATTAATTTGATCAGTGGATGAAGCTGTGGTGAAGGACTGTAAATCATCAAGCACTCTACAATTACATTGAGGGTGTTTTGTGAGGGAAAAATTGACCGAAGGAGGTCGTTACATCTTATTCAATGAAGAGTGTTGAAGTTACAGTGGAAGAAGTTTCAATCATGTGAAGAATGATTGAACGACCACCATAGGAGGGTCTTAATCACCTCTTGTTTATGAGTAAAGATGAATTATTCAGGTAAATGGTCTTTATCTTGAATAATCCATTGATCTTGGGTTATCCCTAAGAATACCCCGTATTGTATTCTCCAGGAACTTCCCATTGAATGTGTTATCCTGAGTGTACTAATGATAGTACTTTTTTCAGAAACTTCCCATTTATTGGCATCATGAGCTTGTCACTGTCTCGGGTGATTAAGCGGTATGCACCGTTTGAGTAGGCTGTCTCTATCACGAACGGTCATTCCCATTTGGGTTGGAATTTGCCTTTCTTCTTGGAATTGAGAATCATTGGTCACCGGATGGCGAGAACCAAGTCTCCTTTTTTAAAGCTTCATTGTCAAACTTTTTTTATCAAAAGCCCGTGATATTCTGGCATGGTAAAACTCAATTTGTTGTTAAGCTTCCAAACGCTTTTCATCTAACATTTCCAATTCTTCGAGACGTTTTCGGTTTTGTTTCTCCGTTATCATCCCCGTCACGAGAGCAATAAGAAGGGATGGAATTTGGATTTCTAAGAGAATAACAGCTTCACATCCATACACAAGAGAATAAGGGGTTGCCCCAGTGGGCATGTGGACTGTAGTGCGATAGGCCCAGAGAGCTTCGCCGAGTTTATCATCCCAATCTCGCTTGTTGGTTCGTATGAGTTTTGACAAAATCTTTATAATTGTCTTGTTGAAAGCTTCAGCTAACCCGTTTGCCATGGGATTGTATGCCGTCGATGAGACGTCTTCGATTCTGAATTTCCTACAAAATTTGATGAATGCATTGCCAACAAATTAAGGGTTGTTTTCATGTACGATTCGTCTTGGAACACCATATCGGTAGATAATGTGGTGTTTGATGAACTTGATGACGTCGCTTGTCTTTATTTCTTTGAGTGGAACTGCTTCAGCCTATTTTGGAAAAAAATCGGTGATTGCCAAAATGAAGCGATCACCTTTTGTCGATGGTGGAAAAATAGGACCAACAATGTCCATTCCCTATGTCTCGAATGGCCATGACGTAACCGAAGGGTGCAGGTGTTCTGGTGGCTGGTGCATGTAATTCGCATGTATTTGACACGTGTGACACCGTTAGGCGTAATCAACTGCGTTCTTGACCGTGGTTGGCCAATAATACCCCATTCTTTTGAGACGATCATAGAGCTTAGGACCGGGTTGTGTACACCACAGGTTCCGTCGTGAGCTTCTTTGAGAGCATCTTTCGCCTCTTTGGTTGAAAGGCATCGAAGTAGTAAACCTCCATATGCACGATGATATAGTGTTTGGGTCGTCGTGTTATAATAAAATCCCAGCACCCTTCGTCGAACCGAATCACTCTCTCTCTCTCTCTCTCTCTCTCTCTCTCTCTCTCTCTCTCTTGCGGCAAAATTCCTTGCACAATATAGTCGATAATGAGGAATAGCTAATCTTGAGGCTCGAGTTCAATTATGGTCATGTGCGCCTCCTTGATGTCCAAGGTGCAGTTTGGTACAAAAAGTTGATGAGTTCTGATAGTGACTTATTATTCTGTGTCGGGAGGCTATGCCAGAGATACCACTAATGCCGCCAGCGCATCTGCATATGCGTTCTGGATACGTAGAATGTGTTTTGATGAAGAATTCTTCGAACGAACCTGCCATCTCGGTGGCCGCCTTGTGGTAAGGTATTAAGTCTTGATTCTTGACTTTGTACTCTCCTCGAATTTGGTTAACTATTAGTTGAGAATTACCAAAAGCTTTTAGATATTCGACCCCCAGCTCTTTGGTGAAACTGAGCCCGATAAGCAGCGCGTTATATTCGGCTATGTTTTTGGAGCATTTTCCTATCAACGAGTAGGCTTGGGATATCATATGCTTTTTCGGGGAAACTAGGACAACTCCGACTCCTGCGGAGATTCTAGAATTACCGGGAGCACTTGTCGGATTGGTCGCTCAAGAAGCACCATCGAAGTATAATTACCATACCTGTTGATGAGAAGTAATGTTGACTTCGTGAGTTTCATCTGGCAAATCTTCATACAGTTCGGCTACATCCGTCATAGGGTTAGCTGCCAAAAGATCACAAAATCGCCTGTCTTTTGACTGACTTCTATTGTTTGAAGTACAGATCGTATTAGGACAGGAGTAGAGCCCATTTTTTTAGTCTCCAATTCATAGAGGCTGGTTGTGTCATGAATACCCAGACTGGGTTAACGTTGGAAATCATATAGATTGTCTATCCAACGAGATAATATCGCATCTTTTAGATGGCGAACACCAAAGCGAGGTATTCTTTCTCGATCATTGGATACCGAGATTCAGCACCTACCAAAGTTCAACCCAAGTAATAAATAGCCTGTTTGTGACCGTTGTCATCGTCTTATGTGAGCAGAGCACTTAACAAGTGGTTCATCACCTTAATATAAATCAAAAACGGTTTACTCGACTTCGGTGCTACGAGAACAGGAGGATTCGCTAGATACACTTTGATATCCTCGAATGCTTTTTGACAAGCGTCATCCAAAACAAACGACACACCCTTTTTCGTGAGCTTGGAAAACGGTTGGCATTTCCCGGATAGATTCAAGATGAACCGATGTATATAGGCTAGTCGTCCTTGCAATCCTCTAAGTTCTTTAATGTTTCTCATGGGTTACAATTCATTTATTGCTTTCACTTTGTCGGGGTCAATGCAGATACCCTTCATGGTGACAATGAATCCCAAAAACTTACCGCTAGACATTCCGAGGAAGGACTTAGTGGGATTCATCTTTAACTGGTGAGTCCGCATGAGATCGAACATCGTCCTCAAATCTTTGATATGGTCATCTTTGTTACGACTTTTCACGATCAGATCATCTACATAATATTCAACGGTCTTCCGGAGATGTTCTTGGAAAATCTTTGACATCGCTTGTTGATAGGTAGCGCCCGCGTTCTTTAATCCGAAAGGCATGACTGTGTAGCAGAAGACACCCAGAGGTGTCCTGAATGCGGTGTGTTTTTCATCGTCCGGGTACATCTTGATTTGATTGTAACCCAAAAACCCATCCATAAAGGATATTCTCTCAAATCCACATGTGTTGTCGATAATAACATCCGTGATCACAAGAGGGAAATCATCCTTTAGACAAGCCGTGTTCAGGTCTCTGAAGTCGATACAGAACCTGATTTTCTCGTTCTTTTTAAGGACCGGTACGATAATTGCCAGTCAATCGGGATGTTACTCTTCTCTGATAAAGCTAGAGTCAATCAATTTCTTGACGTCCATCTCAATTGGCTCTGTAATCTGCGGACGAAACCGCCTCTACGCCTTCTTGATGGGTTTGGCATCTGGTTTGATGTTGAGGCGGTGCATCTCTACATTCGGATTAAGTCCTAGCATATCCTCGCAGTTCCAAGCGAAGACGTCTATGTATTCCCTAATGAGGGCAATCAATTCTTCCTTCTCGTCTGGTGGAAGACCATCACTGACAAATATGGGTTTTGGATTCACTTCGTTTCCCATATTCACCTTGACCACTTTGTCTTCGGTGGG